AGGCGCGGGAAGGCCGGTGGAAGCAGGTGCCTCGTGTGAGGAGTGTCTGGGGAGAAATGCCTGCTCTCCCGCCTGCCGCGCCGGGCGGCGTGCTGACTGTGAAATCGCTCGGTAACGGGGAGCGTTGAGGACACTTCAACGAGGGGAACGCTGCGTTGGGTGTGCTCGGGGGCCGACCTGGAAAATGCCGCAGAAGGTAGCGAAAGCAATTTCTCATGGACCAATTTGTCAGCCAAGCAGCTTGATTTTTAGGCTTGATCATCAAGTATAAATTATTGGAGATGTTCTACCTACAGCTGACTGATAACAGTTGTTGTATCCGTGTTATTGTTGCAAAGGAATGATGCTTCTGCCTGCGTATAATCAGTGTCGTGATTCATAATTTGCAGCCGGGGTAGGAATAACATTCATTCATTAGCTTTCTGACGGTCACTGGCACAAGCTGCTTGTTTGTCCACCTGTATTCCTACTTCAGAAAAGGTAGTGCGTGCATACATAAGAAGCATGATATAAATCATCGCATAATAACAGGAGAGACCAGATTTAAAATATAGGTCTCAAAGATCATTGATGATTGGTTTATTAGTGCCTGTAGTTCTTAAAGTTAAGCCATGTCTTTTAGCCTTAGCTGTGCTATAAATAAAGTCATATCTAACCCTTTGTCCATGAACGATGACGTTATCTGTACACACTGGATTTGATGATGTTCTGACAGGCATGCTGACCAAGAAACACCAGTTCACACTGTGATCGAATTTAACACATTTATTTATTCCTACCAAAATGGAAAAAAAAGGTATTGATATATGTAATTTCAAAGTTATATTTAAAAAAATTCCTGGATTCCATCCCATAGTCTCAGATATCTTCAGAAAAGTCTTAGTAATCCAAGCAGACCGCAGAACTTTAAAAAACCAACCAAACAAAAAAACCCACCTATTTGGATATTTTGAAAAATTTCTTTTCCGTGTTCCATTTACGCTAATTAAAAACACATAACTAAGAGGATCGTGTGCAACAGACTGCAACATCAAAAATAGTTTCTTTGGAGCCTTGGTTGCCTTTTGGATCCATGTCCAGGGAGCTATTTCCTGTCTTCAATCTCTGAAGCCGATTCCAGAGCCACCAGCACCACAATATGGAATTTCATTCTCTTTATACAGAAAATGTGTTCTGATCTCCTTGGCTAACTTGCATGTTGAAGCAAAAATGCTGAAATCCTTGATGCTAAAAACTGTGGATATTTAAGGGAACAGTTTGCACGTCCACCTTATTTTTTTGTTTTGGATAAAACACGGCAGCTAATTCCATGCATTATTGAGAACCTCTTAAAAAAATTCACGGAGACTATATTTCCAAAATTATTGCCTCCGAAGTTGAAATGCAAGAGGTAGACTGGATATGAATCGAAGCCCAAAAGTCCTGACTTACCTGCTAGAGCCAGAAAGTTGGTATCTTTAGAACAAATGGTGACGGGCATTAGCCAGGAGCATTTCTGGCAGCCTGTTACAGGGGGTAAGGTATTACAGCTGCTCTGAAATTACAGAGTGACTCTTGCATTTCAGAATGTTCAGAACTTTTTTTTAAATATAGCTTGTGAGATCAGTCAGCTTGTCCTTATTTCTGAACTAATCATTGCTTAGAGAGGAATATATATTGATCAATTGGTGGTAAATTGAATTCTTTCCTCCTTGAAATGAAGGCTTGGAGCAAAGGAAGGATTCCTGTTTAGTTTTACTTCTTAATCAAAACTTCACGAGGTGTATTTCCAGGTTAAAATGTGTTCTAGTACATCCATAGGTGATTTAATGTAAAATCACTGGAAGTTGCCCCCTCCTAGGGGGTTTTACATGTGCCAATTGTTCATTGTTATTGTAATAAAGATGTACATTACTTCATGCTCACCAGCCCTTCTGCCTGCTTTTTTTAGTTTAAAAAAGGTATCTCTGCGGTTTTGCTTAGTGAATTGCTCAGTCCACCAGTAAATGCCAGAGCTGATTACAGGATGGTGGGTTTAAAGTCTTAAATAGTCTGGTAACGGAGAGAGACAGGGGCAGCTCTTCCTGTTACATGATAGTAAATGGATCCAGCAGAATAAAAGCACTTCTGTCATAAGTGAGTGCTGCATTTTGAATACTCGGTACTGCAATTTTCTTTCTTCTAGGATATTACAGAAGCTCCCGCTAATGACTGCTCTGCCTCTCCAAAACCATAGGTTGTTTGGAACAGTGGTACATTAACAGATGGGCAGCTGTTTAATTCTGATTGTTAGTTACAATGAGGTACAACGCTTGTGGTGCCTTCATTTGAGGAAAGAAACAGATTTGTTATGTATGCCCAAATTACCATCGTGTTTGTATTCTGATGCTCTACCATAGCATATTCTGGGCAAAAAACTTGTTTATCTCTGAACAAAAATCCAAGGAGTATCCTGAAATACATGCTAAATATGCCAGCAGTTTTTGGTAATGGTAAGAGATAGATTGTTCTTTTATTCTCTTTTCATTTATAGACAGATATAATGTCTGTCTTATATTTTCAGTTAAAATGCACATAGCAAGCTTGCTAATAAGGTTAAAATACAACCAAAACCTGTTACTAGGTAACTGAGAGACACAACAAACATTTATACCACTGTCTTAGTGCTAATAGTATACTACTTTTAACATATTTATTACCTCCCATGTGAAATAAATGGAAAGAGAAGCCCACCTTGGTGTGTTTTACCCGTGGTGTTATTAAATACTGACAATGTAATGTAACCAACATTTTCCGTAACTAAGCACACAGAGTTAGTCACACGTACTTGGCCTGGGGGGAATCCACTCTTTCTGGATGATCAATGACAAAAATCCCATTGAACTGCTGCAGCACAAGCGTTTCATGGCTAGTTTTCAGCTTTCATACTAGCAGTTACCAGAAGTCAGCACCTACCTAAAAGGTCATTTTCCTAGATGCCTGACATCTGGTTTTAACAATAACGTCCTAAACCGTGATTTGCTCCAGAGAGGAATGACCAAGTGCTGTGAATACAGTTCTTGTGAAAAAGAAATTTCAAGGAAGAATTTGAATGTCTTAAATGCAAGGGTGTCTGTAAAAGCCAGGGGCACGTGGTTGTGCCTTTAGTGCCTTTCGCTACCAGAAGATGGATTTCTGCTGTTTTTCTGAGCCTCATATAGAGCCGCTGTTGATTCCAGGCAAAAACGAAATTTTGCTTTAGTGTGGCCTGGATAAAACACATCACGCAGATTGATTGCTTCCAGAATATTCCCGCATTTGCCACTTCTGTCACTTTTGCCTGCCTGTTGTGGCCTCACAGGACTAGAGGGGTTTGGAAGGCAAGGAGAACACAGTATGGAGGTGCCCTTCACCGTCTTCCATAGATAAACGATCCCAGGCTTCTGGTTCACTCATTATAGGGTAATGTACAGTCCTTTGCTAATACAGAATAGATCTTGAAACAATCTCTGGAGTAATAAAGCGTAAACATCTCCTGTGGTTAAAGTTTCTCCTGACGTGACTGTTATCACTGGTTACGCTGCACATTCCAGGAATTGTTTAGATTGTTTAGAAGGCAAACCACGATCACAAAAACAGCTGTGGAACAACAGTGGTATTCACTGACGTAAAACTAGATGCCTGACAGTGGAGCTACTTTTAACTTTAATGTGTAGTAGATACATGATTGACATAGAAGGAGCAAATTAATTACATCACCAGGAACATTTGTTAGTGAAGAAGGGAGGAGAAGTTAGCTTAAATGATGTATTGAATGACACCGAACAAGCGTTTCCACTGCTTTTTTTTTTAATGCTAACATAACAGCCCTTCAGCCAAAGATATTTCTGGCTGAAGTATTTCATGAATTTATAGCTCTTTGTATGTAATTGGAAAATGAAATGTTTAATTTTCATTAATAATTTGAAGTGGTATACCAAGGACAATATTGAAAAATTAATAGAAAATAGAAATATATATCAAGGATCTTCCAATACAGAGAAGATATACATATAAGCTGGAACTAGAAGGAACTTCCTGAATCATCTCTTTATCCTCTGTTGCTTGCAGGTGATCATATCATATCATATCATTCCATTCCTTTCATAAAATTACCAAGTTACAGGTAACTTATTCGGGGTATAGTTAATGAACCTGTAAAGATGTCATGAGCCAA